CATAAAAAGGGTCCATACCCCCGATAATGTACCCGATTTCAATAAGAGTTCTCTTTCAACTTCGGGTACGAGGGTCAGCGTGAAATCGGCCACTAAGTCCGCTAAAATTTGAGACTTGATGGCCGTACGGGGTTGATATTCGGTATCGTACCCACTGAGTTCGACGGCCCATTTGGCCAATCGGCCTAATAGCTCATGCTTGTGCAAAACATTACGAACTGGGTAAGTGGTCAGTATGCATATGGGGTGACATTGAAAGTACGGTCTTAACTTTCTAGAGGCACTTATCAGTGCAAGTGCTAATTTTTTTAAGTGTGGATATCTAGTCTCTGCATCTTCTAAGGTTCGACTTACATAATAAACGAAAAATTACATACCTTGCTCTTCTCGAACCAGGACACCACTTACCGCGATCTCCGATACTGCCAAGTACAAGCAAAGTTTTTCATCTATTTTTGGAGTATGAAGCAGTGGTGGGATCGATAGATATTGCTTTAACTCCTCTAACTCCTGTTGGCATTCCGGGGTCCAAGCGAAACCGTTCTTCCTTTCTGAGTAAAGAGAAAAATTTGTGACTCCGATCTGACGACCTTGAAATAAATCGGCCTAAGGTAGCAACCCGTCCCATTAGCCTTTGCACGGTTTTTACACTGTCCACGATGGCGATGTCTTCGATGGCCTTGATTTTATCGGGGTTAATCTAGATCCCCCGATTTGATACCATGAAGCCGAGGAACTTGCCCGAACCGACCCCAAAAGTATATTTCTCGGGGTTGAGCTTCATGTTGTATTTTCTTAAAATCTCGAATGTTTCCTGCAAATGAGTCAAATGGTCCTCTGCGCGCAGGGACTTAACTAGCATGTCATCAATATAAACTTTCATTGATTTACCTATTTGTTCCTCGAACATTTTATTTACTAGGCGTTGGTAAGTGGCTCCTGCATTTTTTAGCCCGAAGGGCATCACATTATAACAATATGTTCCATACTTTGTGACAAATGAAGTCTTTTCCTGGTCTTCCGGGTTCATTTGGATTTGATTATACACGGAATAGGCATAGAGAAAAGTAAGGACCTCGTGGCCGGCCGTGGCATCGATCATGCGATCGATGTTAGGCAATGGAAAAGAATTTTTGGGGCATGCCTTGTTTAAATCCTTATAATCTACACACATTCTAAGTTTGTTCCCTTTTTAGGGACTACAACTACATTGGCTAGCCATTCGAGATATTTTACCTCCCGAATGGATCCTATTTTGAGAAGTTTAGTTACCTCGTCCTTTATGAATGCGTGTTTTACCTCGGACTGGGGTCTTCTCTTTTGCTTCACCGGTTTGAACTTAGGGTCCAGGCTTAGCCGATGCGTCGTTATATCCGGTGGGATCCCTGTTATATCTAAATGGAACCAAGCAAAGCAGTCTATGTTATCGATAAGAAATCGAATAAGCCTTTTCCTGAGTTCGGGGGTTAATCCCGTTCTCAGGTATACCTTTCGTTCGGGCAAATGCTCGATTAGTACGACTTGCTCCAATTCTTCAATCGTTGATTGGGTAGCATTGGAATCATCGGGAGCCACAAAGGATCGAGGGATCCTTCGATCATCATTTACCTCAATCTTCTGATTCTCTGGTTGGGTTAAAGCCGATGTCTGTGATTGCTATTTGGCATCTTGTTTCCCTTTTGAGTCTGATCCTTTTGTTGACGAGGGTAAGGATATCAGAATTGCTTCTTCGACGGCAAACATTTCTCTCGCGGCCGGCTGTTCTCCGCAGAATGTTTTGACCCCCCCTCCCCCCGATGTTGGGAATTTAAGAACTTGGTGTAAGGTCGAAGGTACAGCTCTTATGTTGTGGATCTATGGCCTTCCAAAAAGGGCGTTGTACCTCATGTCGCATTTGATTACATGGAATTTCGTTTCCTGGATGGTACCAACCACGTTTATCAGCAAAATTATCTCGCCTTTGGTGGTTTCACATGCCATATTGAATCCGTTTAAAACCATGGTTGCAGGTACGACCTGGTCTTGTAGACCGAGTTGTTCTACAACCTTCGATCTACTAATGTTGGCCGAGCTATCTGAATTAATTAACACACGCTTAACTTTAGTTTTATTCATAAGTACGGATATTACCAGTGCATCGTTATGAGGTTGTATGACTCATTCTGCATCATCATCATTGAAGGACAAAGTTCCTATGGGTGCGTAATCCTGAGTTCGAGATCACTTTTCTCTCATAATCTAGGTCTTAGTGCATTTTAGCACTGGCCCTTTAGGGGTATCGACGCCGCTGATGATCATGTGGATAACGTGCTGTGGTTCTTCTTGTTCGTTTTGCTTTCCGAAATCCCTGTTTTTGAAATGGTTCTTTGCCATGTCGCTTAAAAATTCTCGAAGGTGCCCTTTATTGAATAACCGGGCTACATCCTCTCTTAGTTGCCTGCAATCTTCCGTTCTCTGGCCATGGGTGTTATGATATTCGCACATTTGATTGGGATTCCTCTGGGCAGGATCGGTCTGCATGGGTCGAGGCCATTTAGTGTCTTTGATGCGTCCGATAGCCGACACGATGGCGGATGCATCAATGCTGAAGTTATACTCCGATAGCCGAGGCGCTTCCTTAGTTCCGGTAGGCCTGTCGAACCCACTTCTGTTCATCAGCCCCCGAGACCCTTGACCTCGATCACTTCTTTTGTTGCTTTGTCCGGGGTTACGTCTCATTCATTGATGTTATGGTTTCCGTTATACGGTCGGTATCGATCCCTGATCAGACCTTGTTCTCGATTGATATCCCTTCAAGCAGCGGGTTCAGACCCCAACTGATCATCTTCGACTCTAATTTTTGATTGGTACCGATTGTGCATGTCGACCCAAGTGATAACTGGGTACTCGACCAGGTTATGCTTCAACCGCCGTGAAGTCGTCGAACTTCGTTCGTTCAAACCTTGATTGAAAGCCTGAACAGCCCAATCGTCTGTCACTAGGGGTAGATCCATTTGTTCCATTTGAAAACGAGACACGAACCCCCTTAGCATTTCGTTATCCTTTTGTCTTACCTTAAATAGGTCCGACTTCCTGGTCGCGACTTTTACGGCCCCGGCGTGTGCTTTTACGAAGGAATCCGCAAGTATAACAAAAGAATCGATGGAATAAATGGCAAATTATGATACCATATCATTGCTCCCTTTGACAGAGTTTCTCTGAATTTCTTCAATAATACGGATTTGATCTCATCATCCTCTAGATCGTTCCCTTTGATGGCACATGTGTATGAGGTGATATGTCTGTTGGGGTCGGTAGTTCCGTTATATTTAGGAATCTCGGGCATACAGAACTTCTTTGGGATCGGTTTAGGAGCCGCGCTTGGGGGGAAAGGCTTTTGTATGAATTTTTGGAATCTAAGCCCTTCAATATTGGTGGTGCCCCCGGGATCTGATCAACCCTGGAGTTGTATGTTTCCACTTTTTTGTCGTTTGCTTCGATCCTTCTTTCTCCCGATTCTATTCGTTTGGTTAGTTCTTCGAACATCTTAGCAATTTCGGGATTATTCCCCGACTCCTGCTTATTTGATTTCACTATAGCTGGTTCCATTGTATGGGCGATTTCTCGGGGTTGACTGGGCTCCGGTCTACTCAGTATCTGGGTTTGACTCTGCAACTGAGCTATTGTTGCATATTGAGCTTGCAACATTTCGAAAATCATACGCAAGCTGATGTTGTTTTCCTCGACGTTATGGGTAACTCGAGCTGCAAATCGAGTGCCACCATGAATGCTATTTTCATGACCAAAATGTAGGTTTGCTTCAATGGCTACATGCGAATTGATGTCTATCGGCACTTAGATTCGAGCTCCAACGGCGTTGACAAGTAGTCTTTCGGTACTGGGTGTCAAGTTGTTGTTCTCATCTTGAAGACCAGCTTCATTGTCGATAGGTAAGGCCATTTGATTGATAATTGGTCGTTGCTAATCCGAAATCCAAGATACTAAGTGCAAAACGGTGTGTGTTTGCAGATTCGTATCAAATAACCACTGTTATCCTTAGCCCCACGGTGGGCGCCAAACTGTTTACCCGAAAAACGGATATAGTTGAATTTGTACGTATTTCTAAGGATATGTGATATAACTTAATACAAATCGTAAGGAAAGATAGAAATATCAAATATGGATTGCAAAGAATGCAAAATAAACAAGGTTGGAAAGAAGATGATTTTTAGGACTAAGCAAGATGAATCAATTTATGAAGTTTAAAAGAATAAGTTTTGAATATAGGAGAATATGGTGCTTGGATTACAATGTAAGCAAAAGACCCTTCTTTACTGAAATGTAGCCAACCTCTTTATAGCGGAGGATCCTACTTTTAGATATAAAAAAATACATAGTGGGAGACCCATGCTAAATCAGTTTTTCCATAATTCCTGCCAAGATTCTCTCCTCTAGTGGGATTGTAACGGCTCTTGTCTATGAGCTCGATATCGACTCGAGTTTTCGGTCTTGACTCGAGTTCTCGATCCTGATCCGAGCTTGATTCTGACTCGGATCCCTGTATTGATTCGGGGTCAGTGTTGGTCGGTCTCTAAATCATAAGCTCGATAATTTTACTTTGCATCATAGTTCGACTTGGATTCGAGCTCGATAATGGTACCGAGCTTATCATTGATCGGTCCTAGAACTCGAAGCTTGATGACCTGACTTCAGACTTCGACCTGATATTACGAAGTCGCTTCTCCGATCCAATGTATTACCATTTAAACCAGTTCGTACGAAGTACTAACCGATTTTTACCGTATACAACTTCACTAATAATAGATTATGAAAGCAACGATCTATGTAGGCAATACTAGCTAGCTAGTGGAGACTAACGTTTAGTTGTTGGTAGACTTACATTAAGTTCATTGTTTGTTGAGGGCTTCTTTAATTTATTCTAGTCAGTGATTTATGTTAATTAGTTCAAGGAGAAGTAAATCTCTCTAATCTTAGAGAACCTAATTTACTTCAAACATGAAAACAAATTATGATCTGAATAAAACGTACATGAGTAGAATAAAGTAAGGGAGACTGTATCTAGCCCTAACCATTACCGACATGAGTAAAACTTTACTTGTAGACTTGCATAGAATCTTGAAGATTAATTCAGGTGTTGAAGATTACCACCAACCAGACTTCCATCTTTCCTCTTGCCACCATTTTCTGATTTTTCTCGGGTCAAAAGTCATTGATAGGGAAGTTTGACAAGTTTCCTACAAAAAAAAAAAAAAAAAAAAAAAAAAAAAAAAAAAATATTCAGGTACTTGTTGGCATTTATTTTTTGGCAAATTGAAAACAACCTTCCTATCCTCACAAGGTGGTAGGAGTAAGGTCTGGGTCGTTCAAAACTACCCTTCTCAGACCTCACGGTGTGATATAATACTGAGTTTATTGTTGTAAGAAAAAATCAAAAGGAAAGTGCCAACTCCTTAAAAACAACAATCAACTAAACAGTTGGCCATGAAATGATACGATGCATTTCAGGCGGCCAGAAGAAGCGTCTCACCACAGGTTATTTCCATCTCCAAACAATTTATAGAGATGTTTCTTGAAATATTTTGCTAACACTCCATATTATACTATACAACTTTTTCAGAGAACAAATTAAAATACTCGAGTTCAAATCCGAAGACAAAAAACAAAAGCAATGCTTCTATTGACTTGATCCCAAAAAGTTGAAGTGTTAAACTACCAAACAGTACCTCATATTTGGCTAGTGATGAGAACTGCAGCACTTTCTTGTTGGATGACCACCATAATATGCTTCTCTTTCCTAATCAGAGTTGTCTGCATTGTCAAACTACTAGTGTTAAGTTCTTACTGCAACAATTCACTTCAAAAGCTTAAGCAACCAACTACTTCTACCGTATGTATTTGCTAGCCTTGGAGTAAAGTAATAACAAAATAAAACTCATAGTCTACATTAAATCAACCGTGAATGGTATGTGAAATAAATGCATGTTTTATATAGAGAGACTAGCGAACGAATTCATTTCTTCATACCGTATACATGTTATCAAGACTAGAGAAGACCTCTCATCAAGCTAGAAGAGTTTACATGGAACCAGTTGTGTGGAGTGTCTAATGCAGTAAAAACGTAAGTAGATTGCAATTGATAAACTTAAACTCAGAGGTGATAAATAAGCACACTAAATTTTACAGGTGATGAATTAGTGAGCTGTTGATATTAGTAATTGGACACTGTAAATATTAAGACAATAGTAATTTCTCATCCTAATTTGATTAACCAAAACGGAAGGTATATATTGAATTAGCATAACCATTTTTCAACTATGCAAAAAGAGTGATCATCAGATCATACAATATAAGCAAAATGCTTAGGGAGATTGCACAAAAGTAGATTCAATCCGGAAATATAATTCTTGACAAAAAAATATAATCACTGGGTTAATAGTTTAATTCAAGTTTGCTGCAGGCGAGATGATTGTTGGGCCAACAAAAACACAATTCATGGACGAGATATCTACTGGACTAGACAGCTCAACGACATTTCAGATAGTGAAATGTTTACAACAGAGTACATCTCACCAGTGGCGAAGCCAGAAAATTTAATAAAGGTGTTCAAATTTTGAACACCCTTTGCCAGTGGGCTATGCAAGGGTGTTCAAAGTCTATTTTTAATCAATAACAAGTAATATTTTACCTTATACGTAGTATAATTTTTCGGCGAAGGGTGGTTAGTTGACCACCCTTGGGCCAACATAGCTTCGCCCCTCATCTCAGAGATGCCACCATCTTGATGTCCCTCCTTCAGCCTGCTCCTGAGACATTTGATCTCTGACGATATCATTCTCTTATCAGAAGGTGAGATTGTTTATCAGGGCCCTCGTGAACATGTCCTTGAGTTCTTTGAAAGCTGTGGTTTTAAATGTCCAGAGAGAAAAGGTGTTGCTGACTTCTTGCAAGAGGTAATCGTCAAATAGGAATATCAATATACATTTCAATGAAAGCCTAAGTGTCAATACATATGAAATGTGAATCTAGTAGAAACAAGTAAGCTTAGCTATATATATAGTACCAGTAGAGAGCAGTGGGTGCATCTGCACCGTGCATCCGCCCCATGAGTTCAGTAGACTGATGATTTTGGACCTTGAAGCGCCAATATTTTTCTTCTTTCTTTTAACTTTCATGGCAAAAAAGAATATAACTTTTAAACCTGCAAATAGGTCACATCAAGAAAGGACCAAGAGCAATACTGGGAGGATAGAAGCAAGCCATACAAGTACATTCCAGTAACTGAATTTGGAAAAAGATTCAAGTGCTTCCACGTGAGCTTATGGCTAGAAAATGAACTCTCAATTCCTTATGGAAGATCGTCACTAAGTCACAAAGCAGCTCTAGTGTTCAAAAAGTACACAGTCCCAAGACTAGAGCTACTAAAGGCCAACTTCGACAAGGAATGGCTTTTGATCAAGAGAAACTCTTTTGTCTATATTTTCAAGACTGTCCAAATAATTATTGTTGCAATCATTGCATCAACTGTGTTCTTGAGGAGTAAAATACACATTAGGAATGAAGATGATGGTTGTATCTATGTTGGTGCACTATTATTTGGAATGATTGTTAATATGTTCAATGGTTATTCTGAACTCTCACTTACCATACAGAAGCTTCCTGTGTTCTACAAGCATAGGGACCATCTCTTCTATCCACCTTGGGCTTTTACTCTACCAAATGTTCTGAAAGTACCAATAACTGTGTTTGAGTCTATTGTATGGACGGTCACCACATATTATGCCATAGGCTTTGCCCCTGAAGCTAGCAGGTAATTCAACAATCATTTTGCAAGATGGTTGAATTAGTATATTGTCTTTCACACATTACAACGACAAAATCAGGTGGTTTTTTAGTGATTTGATATAGAACACATTATACTAGTACCTCAAAATACTCGATAATTTTCTGAGAATGCAGACCTAATGGCCCAGCGTATAGATCAGTTGCCCTCCTTTTTCATAAGAAGTAACTGATCCACGACATAAAAGAACATATTAGAGACGGGGGGTTACAATTCTAAGAGGCTTTGTCTTCCACAGGGTGGGTTTTATGGGTTTCACATGTTCTTTTGTTTACCTCATCAAATTCTTCAAAAATATCAATTCTTGGTTAATGAATTGTGCACACAACAGTTCTCCCAGTATCCACTGTGTTTCTAACAGTTCTCACAACAATAGCTGCTGCTCAAAATCCATTACTTCATCCACATATATCTGGAAAAGTTTTTAGAAGAACAATGTTTTATTACTTAAATTATAAAATTATTGTAATTTAAGGAGATATTAGTCTCTTACCATCTTATCCTCATTGCTGACTTCTTTAGGAAGCCGGAGGAAAGCCGAAAATATCAACGATTCACGGGCAGTTACTTGAGGTGAGTGTATATCAGTTTGTTCACAATATCCTGAAACTCTAGCAAAGGTTTCTTGCTTCTTTGGAAACCCGGATATTTTTATGTCACCTTCAATATAACCACCTGTTTTTCGTCCAGCTAGCACGTCCATGAGTGTAGTCTTCCCTGCTCCACTGACTCCCATTAAAGCAGTCAAGACTCCTGGCCTAAACGCTCCAGACACTACTTGGTCCTTCATTTCCTGAAAATATTGACAACCAAAATTTAGTTCAGCTGTATAAGCAATGTCTTTAGGCTGATTAAAATGCTACACAGCTCGAGCTGCGTATTTTAGATATAATTTATTGCAGAATTTAAGAACAATATGAGAGAATAATGTGCCTCTTACAGGTGGCATGTTTACAAAATAATTCACATTGTCGAAGGACATTGCCAGAGGGGTAAATGGCAGAATCATTCCTTTCTTTGCAGCATCACCATTTGCAGCCTTGAGCCATGCATTTTCATTTATGCTAACGCCATTGGAGTCAGAACGATTACTGATACACCAGATTTTCATTTCTCCTGCCAAGAATAGTATAACTATAACTAATATTTATGTCGCAAAAGAGGTATTGTTCATCATTGAACGCATCATCTTACCCGAGTTATTTGCATTTGTTATAAGTCTCATGGATTCCTTGCCTTCTACTTGATCAGCATCCATATCCCTTGCTTGCTTTTTGGATATAATAGCTTGTGGCTTCCCTGCAGCTGTTATAATGAACATAACATTTAATAGGCTTAGATTGTGCATTGAATGGAAAAACTATAATTCATTTTAAAGGAGTAAGAACTCACGGTTGAGGTACATTAGGGAAAAAGTGAAAAGAATGTTAAAATGAATTGTGAACCCCAGTAGTGCAGCAGTGCCTATCCAAAACCATCTTTTTTCAGGGAAGACGTCAAAGTTTTTCATCACTTGCACGCCCAACCTTGTTGTGTTGTCTGAGGCCTGTTAATTTTGTTCATATGGTTAATGAAGCTCACTTTCTGTATATTGACTATGTTGTGAATTATGTATGGTTTTGCTTGATGATATGGAAAAAATCAGGTGAACAGGCAAGGATATTTAGAACATACCAATTTGCTCATCCACCTTGGAGCAAACATCTCGTTTAGAGTGAGGGTGTTGAACCCATAGGAAAAAGGTGAAATCCAAGAGCCCCATCTCCACCAGTCCGGAATGGATCCTGTCATAAGCAACCAGTTTTTTTATCAGTGATTCAATTATGTGAAGCAGCCTGAGAAAAAAGTCATACAGTTAATGAAGTTTGACGTTCCTGATTAATATTTCCAAGACTATTGGTGTTGAGATGCCTAATTTACAATTCCTCTTGTCTCCTCTTTCATTTTGTCTTTCATCTTACCTATTTAACAATTGATCTACCTATTTAAATGAATAGCAGGCAATTCCAGGAGTTCCAAAAATTAAAGAGAAATACAATCCAGCCACCTGGATGCTAGAAGTGAGTTCAGTTGACTCAGAAATCCGACTAGGATTTGATTTTACTGAATACTACAACTCATCAGCTTCATATGAGTAAGCCAAAATCAGCACATGCTGGATGTATTTGCCACATTACAACAACAACATACCCAGTATTATCCCACACCATGGGGTCTGAGGAGGATAGTGTGTACGTGGGCCTTACCCATACCTTGTGAGGATAGAGAGACTGTTTCCAATAGACTCTCGGCTCAGAAAAGTATAAGCACCACATTAATGAAAATATAGACAAGAAGGGACATTACCAAAAAGCCATATAAAAGCAAAATAAAAATAAAAGATAGTAAGGTGATCAACAATGAAAGAAAACAACGGTTAGTCGTAAAAATCTACTACCAACAGAAAGCGAGACTGCGTGTCAATACTACTGTTATGAACACTCTATACTACCTACTCTACTACCCTAACTCCATACCTTCCTATCAAGGGTCATGTCCTCGGTCAGCTGAAATTGCGTCATGTCTTGCCTAATCACCTCTCCCCACCTCTTCTTTAGCCTACTTCTACCTCTCCGTAGGCCCTCCAATGTCAACCTCTCACATCTACTCACCGGGTATCTGTGCTCCTCCTCCTCACATGACCAATCCACCTAAGTCGCGCTTCCCGCATCTTGTCTTTAACAGGGGTCACACCCACCTTATCGCGAATAAGCTCATTTCTGATCCTATCTAATCTGGTGTGCCCGCACATCCATCTCAACATCCTCATCTCATCTCTGCTACCTTCATCTTCTGGATAAATGTGGTGTACCCAGACGAACTAAAGCTCTTGTCAAAGAGCTGTGCACACCTCCTCCTGGAGCCAAAGACCTCTATTTTCCTACAAAGCACTCTCACTCAGCATGGGGGCAGTTCAAATCCTGCTTATGGAAGGAATGGTGGACTCACTGGAGAAGTCCAAACTATAATCTTGTTAGATTCTTCTTTAGTTTGGCTGCAGCACTCATGGTTGGAACAATTTTCTTGAAAGTTGGCAGTAAAAGGTCTATTTCTAATTTATGGCTAACTGATAGACTATTTCAGAGGGTTGAGTAAACTGAAAGGGCTAAAAGGTGACAAATCACATGTTGTATTGTTTCTGTGGTACAGAGAAACTAGCAGTGATTTAATGACAATCATTGGGGCAATGTACACAGCTGTTCTGTTTGTTGGAATCAACAATTGTTCGAGTGTACAGGCAATTGTAGCCGTAGGAAGAACTGTCTTTTACCGAGAAAGAGCTGCTGGGATGTACTCAGCATTACCATATGCTATGGCACAGGTAACCGTTATTACACTAAATTGTAAATTATGTATAAATAGCTATCTTCTCATACCAAAAATAACAAGCAGAGTTAGTGTCACAAGCACATCCTGAACGTGTATGTGAAATAATTGGGGCATATTACCTTATTCAATTTCACGAATCAATTTCATTTATTTGGATTGCGGGTCATTTCCGAAATACCATATATTATTGTCCAAACTACATACTATACTCTTAGGGGTGGATTGGTAGGAGGTATTAGAAAAAATAATGCAAACATTAACTCTATGTATTATTAATATCTTGTTAGGTACATTTTTTCAACTTGTGTATAACTAATACTTGTATTAGTTATACTTGTATTAGTTATACATCATACTTGGTATTATCCTAGGTATAAGTAATGCATAGAAAACCATGGCATTAGTAATACCAAGGCTACTAATGCATGCATTAAGTTGGTTAAAGACAAAATTATCCTTAAAGTCCCTTAAAGCTTGAGAATATGAAGGACATTTTTGTAAACAACTATTTTTCTTAAAAATTATGCAATGCATTATAATTTTAATACTCCACACTAAACAGTAGATAAGAAATAATATCTGCATAACTAATGCTTGCATTACTAACCCATGCATTACTAATTCATGCATTACTAATACACCTTATTCTGCACTATTCTTGTACACCCTGCCAAACGACCCCTTATAGTATACACAGTGGTGGACTTTGAGTTGACAGCAGCTAAATTCTTCTGGTTCTATTTTGTGACCTTCTCCTTCCTATATTTTACATACTACGGAATGATGACTGTTGCCATCACACCAAACCACCATGTAGCATCAATCTTTGCTGCAGCTTTCTTCTCTCTTTTTAATCTCTTCTCACGTTTCTTCATCCCCAGACCAGTAAGTTTAATCTTTCTCACAAGTTCAAACATCAATATCGAAGGACCTGGTTTTTCTATGCATTTCTTACACTACAGTTGCGGAATAAATAATGCAGAAAGTAAAGAACACAATGATTTTTACGTGAAAAATACCCGACTCAAAAGGTGAAAAAACCACGATCTACTACCCAGTAGGATTTTCTCCAAACACTTCACTATAACTCTGAGCCAACAACAAAGTTTAAAAACTCTTGCAAACCTAAAGATTACCTCTAACCCTTGTAGCAACCAGTCACAAGTTGTTGTGACTGCTTCAAGTTAAATCTAACGNACCTACTACCCAGTAGGATTTTCTCCAAACACTTCACTATAATTTTGAGCCAACAACAAAGTTTACAAACTCTTGCAAACCTAAGGATTACCTCTAACCCTTGTAGCAACCAACCACAGGCTGTTGGGACTGCTTCAAGTTAAATCTAACTTGAACAATACAATTAGAGTTTACAACCTCTTGCAAACCTAAGGATTAACTCTAACCCTTATAGCAACACGCCACAGGCTGTTGCAACTACTTCAAGTTACCTCTAACTTGAAAGATACAACTCAGGTACCTAGTACAATTTGCTTCTTAGAAAGCTAAAAGGTACAACTCAAAATACCTACTACACTTTGAACTAGAAATAAAGAAAGACACATAAAACTCTTTTTGAAGTTGGTTCTTCAATCTGGTTTGTGTAGCTTCAGAATCGCACTCTTAAATCTCACAGGAATTGCTCACAAAATGCCTTGCTATTTTGCTCTCAATTCGTGCTTAACTTCAGTATGTGTGCATCACCTGTAAAAGAGAACAGAACTGATATATATAAAGTTAGTAAATAAAGATTAACTAGAAGTCTAATGCTTTAATCTTCCTTGGTGGAAGAGTTCTAGTTATCTTCAAATTCTAACTCTTTCCTTATCTTGGATAGAGTTCTCTTCAAGTAAGGAGTCCTGCTCCTTATCAAATATGTAACCTTTTCGTTCAGGGATTATCAGAAATAACGACTTGTACTTATCCCTTTCACGTGCATGTCTTTTGTTTGATTCTGCCTGTCACCTCTATACATTGTCCATGGACCTGGTTCATGCATGTGTTCCTTTATCAATCATCAAAACCAAAGCCGCTCAGGTCAACAAATTCCCCCTTTTTGATGATGACAAACTCAATATTTTTCATAAGCATGGAACCTGTTTCAACTCAGTTCAACATCAACACAATGTTAGAATACTTTCATTTAAAGTTACAAATCATCAAGGACCAGGTTTATTAGGTTATAAACATCACAGTCCAAAGCAAAAGCACACCTTATCTTCCCATTTTGGCATCATCGAAAAGTTGCATAATTAAGTTAAGTAACCAGATTTTAGCAGATATTACTTATGGTCACTGAGGCTACTTCAAATGCAATCATGGATTCCATTTTTTCTTTATCAGTCTAAGGATATTAGCCATCTAAGAAATATCAACAAACAATTAGAGCAAAAGCAGTGAATTTCATTAATTGATAAGATTCTACCACAAAGCATAAGAAGAAATAAAAACATAGAATCATGAACAAAAGACCGAGAAATCTCACTTGGATCAGTAGTTACAACTAGGCTTAGGAAGGGTTAAAAACTGGGAATGATCAGGTTATTGGTTCTTGGCTTGCATCAGTTTCAACATATCTTGAAGAATACTATCATTATTCTCCTTTTACTTTGAAAGCTCACACTTGAGAGAGTCTCTCTCATACTCTACTTCAGCCAATCCTTTCTTCAGCCTTTCAATCTCAGAATCCTTAGCCATTTTCTTCCACTATTTGAGCCTCTTTGCTCCTTTTAGCAGACCTTGTTCTTTTAGAAATCATTGAGCCCTCAGCCTCAGCCTATTTTTCTCGAGAATTCTCTTTAGAAGTCTTTCTCCTTTTGGCACTAGGTGTGAGTACTTCCACATCCTCATATTCATCTTCAAGAACCAGGTTCATCTCCTCAATCTAGACTACTCCACTTGGCTTACCAGCCTTCTTATTTTTTCAAGCGACTTTCTCGGTATTCTCAACTAAGGCCTTTTTACATTGACCTTACTCTACTTCTTCTGGCTCCTTGTAGTTCTTCCTCTTGTGGGAGGAGTTGCTACAGGGATAGAAGGAGCACTCTTTTTCTTAGTGCCACCCATGCCCTTTCCTGCAGACTTTCTAACTTTGTTCTTCTTCTTTTGCTTGCAACTTTCTAACACCTTTTTGCAACATATCAGGACTCTTGTCTATTTAAGAAAGAGAAGGAACTGGTTCATAAAATCGTTTCCTTAACCTAACTAGCTCATCTGCTGCACTTCTATCACCATAACCATCACCTACCTCTGGTGATTCTATCCCCATGCTTTCATTCATAGTCTCCTCATTATACTAATCTCATCACTTAATACAATCATTGCTCCAGTTTCTTCAGTCAAACTAACAAGAGTGGGTGAAGGAGATCCAGCCACTCTTTCTTCTCCCTTTCCCCTCACATCTACTTCAACACGCTCACTCTTTTTCTCTTTTTCATTTTTACCACCAATTTTTATAGACCTACTAGTTTCTACACCAACAATCGAACCAACCAACACAAACCTATTTTTGACACTCTCAACAATTTCAGAAGCAACATTAGAAATTTCTAACCCAGAAGTTACCT